TGTTAATGCAGGAAGAACAGTGGAATCGAAGACATGTGCTTGGAGCTGGAGGTTCTTTGTCCTCTTAGTTATTTCTTCTACACTCTTGAAGACATTCCAAGCCGCTCTCTTCCTCCTGCGCAACTCAGGTGCCAGGTCATTTGTCATGTTGACTTCTCGACCTAGATACACATAACTGTTGCATTCGGAGATGGTTGTTTCATTGAGAGCGAATGGAACGTCAGGAACAAGACTGTTTCTCATGAACATTGTCTTTGTGAGATTCAGCTGTAATCCGACCTTTCCACACTCACAGTCAAAGTTGGTCAGCATTTGTGCTGCTTGGCTGATGTTTGGTGTTATTAGAATGATGTCATCAGCAAAGCGGAGGTGGTGTAGTTGCTAACTATCTATCTTCACTCCCCATTCCTTCCCATTCCAGTCGTCGCATGACGTTCTCGAGGGTGGCACTGAAGAATTTCGGTGAAATAGTATCACCCTGCCGAACCCCCCTCTTGACATCGATGATCACTTCTTTGTAGAATGGTGAGATCCTGGTAGTGAATCCATAATACAGCTCACAGAGGATCCTGATATATTGAGTTTGAACACCCTGATTGGCTAGGGCTTCAATTACCGCTTCCATCTCAACAGAATCAAAAGCCCTCTTTAAATCAATGAACGTTAGACAGAGCGGCATCTTGAACTCCCAAGAAACCTCAGTGAGCTTGGTTATCATGTGGATATGGTTGATGGTGCTGAATCCTTTTTGGAACCCGGCTTGCTCGCATGGTTGTCTTTCATCTAGTGTTCTGCCAATCCTATTCAACCTTAACAACAGAAACAATAAAAAAATAAGTTATTAAAAATAAAAATAAGATAGCACAGCGGGTAGGGCGTTCGCCTTACACGCGGCCAACATGGCTGACCCGAGTTCGATTCCTCCGCCCCTCTCGGAGAGCCCGGCAAGCTACCGAGAGTATTCGATATGCCAGACACAGTAACAACAAAGTCTCCAATGGAGACGTTACTGGGCCCGCTCGAGCAAATCGACGATCAACGGGAGGGCCTTTACCTAATGAAAAAAATGTTTGTAAAAATTTCTACCTAGTCTACTGTCTTCTCCAAAGTAAGGATGTCCCTCTGTTAAAAAATAAGATTTTTAAAAATCAGTGAAGTGGGGCTGGAGCAATAGCATGGCGGGTAGGGCGTTTGCCTTGCACGCAGCTGACCCGGGTTCAATTCCCGGCATCCTATATGGTCCCCTGAACACCTCTAGGAGTAATCTCTGAGTGCAAAGCCAGGAATAACTTCTGTGCATTTCTGGTGTGACCCTCCCCCCCCCACAAAAAAAGCAAAAAAAAAAGAATCAAAGAAGTATTAAGGACATATTAGTACCAACAGGAGATTGTTTATATTTAATATCATTAGAAGGATTGAAAGGAAAATGAAAAGGGGGACACATTTCCCAGAACCTTATTCAGTATTGGGAATACTGTGCGTGTGTATTACTTAAAATCATTGCATGTATGGCTATGTTCTGTTGTTATTCTGGAAATAGTAGAAGGTAAGTTCTTCTGAGTTACATTTATGCAGTTGTTGAACTGGTGTGGAGTCTAGGGATAGCCAAGAATCCCGGATTCCTGTCCGACCCCCGTCTAAATACACACACACACACACACACACACACACACACACAGAGAGAGAGAGAGAGAGAGAGATTCCCCCTCTCTGGCTCTTCTTTGCTGTATTATGCCTGGGATTTATAGTTTCATCTAAAGAAAGGACTCCCAAGTTCCTTCCAGTTATCACATCCTATAATTATTAAAAGAGAGAAAAAATCACTACAGCTTGCAATGTGTTTAGGTTGGATGGATTAATCTTTTTGCCAAAGCCATATCAGGAAGACTGACTTTGTCATTTCAATTACAAGCCACCGTTTAGTTTGAGCCCGGAAGACTCTTTCCTAGAGATCCCTTCTCTTGCCTGGCACTGGAGCAATTAACAGAGGGTGATTTGTGGCTGCATTTTTACTGCTTAGCACACGTTTATCATCTTGAAAGTTTTCCATTTGCATATTCACTATACATTCTTCGGGTGACATTTCGATACCATCCAGAGTTTAGATTATGCATTGCCTTGTACCGCACTTCATGCTACGTGCCGGGAATTGGCAAGATTAGCCAGAATGCTGACGCAGACCAAGGGAAATAGAAGTTGCAGCTACCACTATCGAGAGCTTCATGTGTGCCAGCCCTCAGTACTGAGGGCTTTCCCTGCATTACCTTCTTTATTCTTTAGACTAGTATTTGGAGTTTTCTGGTTGCCAACTTTTGCAAATAAGGAAAACTGAAACTCAGAAAGGAAAAGCAGTTTGCCCAAGGTGACCCGGCTCAAAGAAGCAGAATTGAGATTCAAAACCCCAGTTTGTCTGATCCTAAAGCACCCTGCCCCGCAGCCTCCCATGCTGAGAGTACTCAGAGAAATGAATTGAAGTTGACAGTTTGCTACTTTTAATACCAAACTTCCTCAGCAATCTAATTGCTGCTCTTTGGACTAAGAAGAAGTGGCTATTTAAAAGAAGTAGGATGCAGGAGGTCAAGAGAGAAAGGGGTTTATTATCTCAGTTAGTAAAGGAGGAGATGTAATCCTGCGGGAAAATAACATCAAGTGGAAATCATTATATAAGTTTGCAGTGGGTTTGGGTAGGTGAAATTGCAAAGGAGTTCGGAGAAGATAAAGGAGTAATGAATATGTAGTACCGATGATTTTCTAAAAGGGGAAGAAAGGATCAGAAGTCACCGAAGACAGAAGCTGACCTATTTGCAGGCAAGGGTGTCTCCATCTTGACAAATGGAAACGAGCAAGGCCCAAAGTAGATCTTTTGTGTTCATGTTCCAGGCTGCCTGGGCGAGTCCAGGCGAGGCGCGAGCTCTGGAGCCCGACTTTCTAACAGGGTGACCCTGGGCAAGTTACTTAACCTCTCAAAAATCTCTTTGGGGCACTCAGAAAGACGTTAAGATGCAATGCCCTTCTCATTTAGAGCTTATTCACATTATGCAAGAAACAGGAGCTTTAAAGTCAGCAAAAAAGTCTCTGAAGAAACGGCACGGCAGCAAAGAGAGAGGTTTACCCACCAGTGCAGAAGGGAGCTCTGTCTCCTCGGCGCCAGCACTGACCCAAAAGGCAAACACGGGGGGAAAGACAGATAGGTAGGGGGCGAGGGGCAGGCTCAGATCCAAAGGGAGACTGGGTCTGTGCTGGGCTTGAGGGAGCCTCCGACCTTGTTTCTGTCAAACCTCTGTTCTAATGGGCACGCTGGTGGCAGGCAGTCTGTTGGCTGAGCTCTCCGGGCCAGAGAAGTGCGGATTAGCCAAAATGCAGAACTGAGAGAAGCAGAGGAAAGAAAGCCAGGACTTTTCATCTTGGGATGCCAGTAGTTCATTGGAGAGCAAGAGCACATTGGGAGGAGAGAACTTTTTAAAATAAGCACATCTTTCTTTCTTTCCTTTTCATTTTGTCTTCCCACAATTAGGAATCTGTTTTGGGTTTTGTTTTTGCCTCTTTTTGGTTACACCACAGACAAACCACCGTGCAGTTGAATGCAGCACGGGCTGGCAAGGTGCTTGTGAGTGAGAGCGAGTGTCAATTGCTTTTTCAGACCGCACTTATTTAGCACATTCTTTATGTCAGACTCTGGCTGGGTCCTGGAGAGACAGGCTGTTCCCAAACCTCAGCCTCCATATTCCGAGATTCCCACTGTTTTATGTTGTAGTTCTCAGTTATGGGACTACCACATAAAAATAAAAACTTGCTGATGCCCAGGGTCTATCTCAGACCTACAGAATCTCCTACAGTGGAATTAGGCAAGTGGATGTTCTGAATTGCGCCATTTGCTTTTATGTTCACATCAATCTCCAACAACTGGGGTAGAACCCTCCTCATTTTACAGATAAGGAAGCTGAGGCTCAGAGAGGTTACATGGTTAAGTGGGGTCGCACAGCCGGTGGCCAGAGCTGGAGCTCAGATTCAATGGCCACACTTAAAATTCCAGGACCTTACTGGGTGACCGCTTGCCCAGGTCAGCACAGATGAAACTGTGCCTTGAGGCCGTGCTGGCAAAAAGGCCTGAAAGTGGAGGTGAGTACGCAGAAGCCCTAGCTTATCACAGCAAAAACTCAAAAGCAACAGCATGTCCAGGTTCAAGCACTTATACTAAACTGGGCAGGACTCTTTAAAATTGCAGTCTGGTGTGCCACAGTTTTCCCCTCCAACCCCAAGACAAATAAATGCATTTTCTGCTGCACAAGTACCCCCATGGTTGCAGTTTCCATTATATAACCCGAGACTGGGCTCCAAAACCACTGCTTTCTGGTTTTGTCTGTGTAGTCTAGGGATAACTTGGGCTTCCTGTGTTGCTAACCTCCTGGTTCTATTTGGTACCTCTGTCTTCATCACCGGTATAACCAATTCACTCCATGAGATTGTCTTTAACTCAGGCCAATGTCAGTTGTTACACAGAGAAATAGAGACCCGGATTCAGAGACGTTTAGTAACTCAGCCATCATTGCATAGTAATTTTTGTTTTGCAGTCCTCACCAGGTCACGTTCAGTGACTACTCCTTATTCATAGCTCTGGAGTTGCTATTGGCCAGTGCTCAGGAGACCATGTGGTGCCAGGGACAAAATCCAGTTCCCTGCATGCAAAGCATAATCTCCGTAATTATTGCTTGCACAGTAATTCTTGGCACAGTATTTCTAAGCAAAAGTTGTATTTTTTTTTTAAATTCCCAAACCTTAGGGGTAACTTATATTTAAAGAAGTTAGTACTTGCTGCCAGGTGCTGATGGCAATGGAGAAGCAATGACAATGACAATGAAGGCAATGATGAAAATGGCGGTGGAAGCTTTGGTTGTGGTGGTCATGGTAATGGCCATACCTCCCACTGCTGCGTGGTGTCTGTGGGAGATGCACAGGGTATACGTCCTGTTTTCACACACATGTCTCTGGATGTGTTACAGGCCTTCACCCATGACCACATCCAAGAGATCATGGTGCAGCTGCTTCGCACAGTGAACCGGACAGTCATCACCATGGGACGGGATCATAAGCTGATTGTGAGTACATTTCTTCCTTTTGTCAGACATCCCACACTGTTCCAGCGCAAGGAACAGGTTTTCTGGAAGACTGACTCTACCCAGCCTCTGTTATCAGTCACTGTTTTGTTTGGGGGTTACATGGGTTCGATTTTTTCCTGAGTGGGAGAACATGAGGGTCAATACCAGCTGCCGAACTAAAACAGGCCTTACGATGTCTACCAAGGTGAGTGGACTGGGGTTTCTGGAATTTTGCTAGTGAAAATGAGCAAGAGAGGGAAACTTGCACTCTGCTAGGATGCTCCAGACTCACCTGGCTTGGGACTCTGGGCAGGTTGGGAGTTAAGCAGTGCTGGTCTCGGTGAACCTGCTCATCTTAGTGGTTTCTTTAATAACTTCGTGGTTTCTTTGATAACTGTAATAACTCAGCCCTCGGATGTTAGTTAATCAGAGCCTATGCTACAGTTTGGGTTGTTCTACAGTCACAGTATTTGGAAGTGCCAGAGATCTGAGCCCCGTAGCTTGATTTTCTCTTCAGAGAATAAAAGATCCAGTAGTCCTTGCTTGTCTTGCCTTAGTTCAAGTTTCTAATGCTTCTAGAAACCAGTGACAGCTCTAAGTGAGCAATCCCAGCCATGCCCCTCCTCTGCCCAAGCTCCTGAGAGGCTTCCTACTTCTGAGTAAAATCTAAGTCAGCGTTTAAGTCTTAAGGGCCTCCACCTCCCCACATGAAACGTGATTCTGCTTGTTTTTCCCTCTTCCTGGCCCAGCTCCCCAGAGGGATGCTTCAGGGAGACTGTCTGGACGTCTGTGGATGTAGGCCCTTAGGTTAGTCTGATCTTGGCTCATATGCTCAGGTCTCGCCCAGTCAGTCTTAACTGTCCTGACTGCCCTGTTGATAATTTCACTTTAAGTCCCTACATCACAGTTTCTTCATTTTTTTTTGACACTTACCACCACTTTTATTTATTTATTTTTATTTTATAAAGTAGTTCACAATATTTGATTACACTTAATATTCACTTAACACCAGTCCCACCACCAGTACACCTTCCCACCACCATATTTCAGACATTTCCGTCCCAAACCCCAACCCCTGCCCCAAAGCAGAACTGAAATAATATATTTTCTATTGTTTGTTATGAAAATCTGCTGAGAATGCTAGAAAAAAATATACTTAGAGGAAAGAGTGTGAGAATTGTTGTATTTCACCCAGGGGCCATTAAACCCTTCTATAAAAGATCACCAACATGTTGTTAAAGGTTGTGCCTTGTGATATATATATATATATATATATATATAATATTTCTCTCTAAAATTTGTTGCCTCCTACTTTGAACCCTGTCAAGTGTGGTGCAGTAATCCTGGAGTATGGGTAGAGTATGTGGTTTGAAGTATTGCACTGAAGCATTCATGGTCATTCAGTCTAGGAATAGATGCACTTGTGGCTGAGATCCTATGGAGAGCGGCCGTGAGCATGGAGGCAGCTGAGTTGTGGAAGTTTTCTGCTGCTGGGGCGGGGCCTTGGGGCGGGGTGGGGTCTCACCTGCCCCCCTCCGGGACGCCTCGAGTGAAACATCCTGGCACATGGTCTACCAGCATGGTTGTGGCGAGCGTCATGTTGCTCCCTTCCTGGACATGTGACCTGGATGGTGGCCGATGATGTGATTATCTGGCACCAGCCAGAGGTGGGTTGTGGGCGTGACTGCTGGGTCTCGGAGGGGTGGGGGGGGGGCGTTGATCTCCGTACCCAGTCCCGTTGAGCCCAGTGTTCTCAGTCACAAAGTCCCGCATACCTGGGTTTTTCCGGGGATTCACTCATGGATGAGGCTTGGCCCGAGTATGTGGAGAGTGGCCGTGAGTATTACCACTATTTTTATACACACACATACATATACATATACACATATATGTATATACAAAGTGTATATATACACATACATATATTTATGTTTAAATTTTTTAAATTATTGTCTTGTGTGAGTAAGGTCTTGTGATCTACGAAATTTAAGAATTTTTTCATTTCTTTGACTTTTCTGTAATAACCCCACTCCCTACAAGTATGGTGGTATATATTAGATACTAGAGGACTTGTTAAATGACTGAATAATTGAAGTATACCAGGTAGGACTCTAAAATTTAAAGATGAGATCAGCCACTCAATTATCCCTGATGCCATGTGGCACTGGACCATGTCATTCCTAGAAGTTTTAACATCTTAGGAGAAGCTGAAAATTCTTATGCGTTATGTGAAATTCCCTATTATTTGTGTTGGCAGCTGGTTTAATATATATATATTTATTTATCACACCCTATGATACCCACACAGCTGGATTCAGCTTGCTGGAGGTCAGTTTGAGATATTTGTTTTCAATTAGAGCCAGGTTTGCGGGTGTTGATTGTCAACATGCCATAGCCCTTCTTCATGGGCATGGGACATAAGGTATAGAGTGAATACCTAACAGTAGCTGGGCGAGGGTCCGATGCCTGAAAGCAGCCAGTGGAATCATCTTTATACATGTCTGTGTCTCCTCGTGTCACCATGTGATAGTTGGTGGGTAATGTCCGTGCCCCGTGACAACACCAGCACTGCCAGGCTCCCTTGCCCTCCTTGTAAACTGGTCTCTCGCTGTTCTCCTTTACAGCTCTTCCACCTTACGGCTCTGGCCATTCCTTATTCAGTTACGAGCTTCCATATCTGGGTTTCTATAACATGCCTTAGATAAGCATTTTATGACCTCCCTAATCTTTATTCCTGAGATCTAAAGATCATCAATATATATTTGGCTCCTTTCGTCTATAGCAGTCTCTAAATCCTCCACCTCCCCTTTAGTGCCGTGAGTCTGTAAAATTGTGCCCGGGTCATAGAAAGCACCGAATAACTGGGGGCTATTATTCTGTTCCTTTCCGTCTGGTACAATGCCTCTCTCTGTCCCTTTGCATCATCGACACCAGCAAATGACCGCGATTTGGCCTTCATTCACTACAGCCGGTGCCCAGCCTTTTATTTGAAGCTCTACCCTGCTTGTTCATCCTTCTGGTCCCCACTCTCACTGCTGCCCATTAGCCTCTGCTAGGACCGTCTTCTGCTCCAGCCAGGTGGTTTCCCGCGGCATACCAAATGAAGTCTCTCATGAGCCATGCAGAGTCTGCTGAGTCCCAGTTTCTCTGCTTGGTCCACAAGCCCTTCCTTCTGTTCTCCATTCAGACATCCAGCGAAGATGTGTCTGGCTATTCCAACCATGCTTGCTGCCTGCCACTTCCAGGCTGCTTTCTTTGTCTCTAGCTACTCTTTGTATTCGCCAATCTGATGGAATCATGCTAAGTTCTCAGGGTCCACTAGAAATGCACTCCCCTATGAAGCTGCCCACGATCTCACCAAAGTGGTCAGGATGCAGTGCAGCTCGACCGCCACACACACACACACACACACACACACACACACACACACACACTTTTAAATAACACAGCTCTCTCTTCCTGTTCTTTTAAGTTTCACTAAAATATACTTTACAAGCCTTAAAATGTAACCATTTATTTTAATGAGTTTTGGTAAATGTATACAGTTATGCAGCCAGCCCCATTATTCCATTTAGAATTCAGTCCACTTCCCACATCCTTCAAAATTCCATTTACAGTCACTCTCCACTCTCCACCCACACCACCACATCACCACTCCAGCCCTAGCACTTTGTGTCGCTATAGATTTATCTTTTCTAGGAAAGTTTAAATATGTGAAATCACACTCTTGCTGGTATTTTGTGTGTGTGACTTCTTTCCTTGTAGCATAATTTTTTGAGGTTTATCCATATTTTAGGACATATCCATACATAATTTCTTTTTATTGCTAAATACTATGAATACATCGCATTTTGTTTATCCATTCACTAGTGGAATTGTTACCAGCTTTTAGCTATTATGAATAACACTGCTGTGAGCATTCATTCACATGTAAATTTTATTTGAGCAGAATCTAATTTCTCTCAGGTAGCATCTAGGAGTGGAATAGTTGGGGTACATGGGGAGTGTATGTTCAATTTTATGAGAAACTACCAAACTTTTCCATAGTTTAGTTGTCATTTTCCCATTTTTTCAGGGGAGGAGTTTTCTCGGTGGTTAAGTCAGGAGGCTTGGGGGCTTCTCTACTGGTTCCCAGACAACCTGGCTTGTGGCTCAAGGCCTCGGCCAGGGACCATGGTGCTACTCAGGCACTGCAGAGTTGGGGATTACCTGGCTCACCCTGGCAGTGCTTGGGGGGCTACAGGATGCTCCTGGGATACTCAGGACCTAGACACTGCCAGGGATCTATGAGTCGTCCTGTACTATCTCTTTGGCTCCCATTTTCCATTCTTGCCAGCAGCGGTTGAGGGTTCTGGCTTATCTCCATCCTTACCAGTACCTACTGTTGTCAGTGCTTTGGGTGAGAGTCCTTTTGTCTGTTGCCTTCTTCCCAACTAGGGCCACTCAGGAGGGAATTGGGGGCATTCCAGTGGTGCCAGTGCCTGGCCCTGTGGTACTCAGGAGTTACCAGAGTCACAACCAAGGTGCGGCACAGGGCGTGCCATCCTGTGACTAAATTCAGGGCCTCTCACATGCTAGGCAAATGCTCCCCCACTTGAACCTTCCCCTTAGCTCGAGGCATTTTTAAATCTGTGAATATGCCGGAAGTCCTCTGAGGTAGGGACTTATCTGGAAAATGATTAATAATAGACGTTTCTAATAGAGTTACTGTTAAATAATATATGAGCGGCATTTTTTATATGTTTCTTGACCATAATATTCGCTTCTTTATTCATTCCGTATTTTATTAGTCCCTCTCATAAATTTAGCATGAAGAGTCAATGAGTTGTTATGGCCTGTGTTCTCAGGAGAAACACAACCTCCTATGATAGCTGGTCTCTGAAGGACTTCCAGCTCACCGCAGCCCAGCTCCTCCCAGCCAGGCCCACTCCACCATCCCCCCACCCCCAGAGCTCAGCCTGTACTTCTGCTCTAGAGCTGGAGACCCTGCCCTTGTCCTT